GTCAGGTCACTTTAATTTTGTAGCTTAGTACAAATTAATTACTTTGTAATTTAAAAAATTGTCTTTGATTTCACCTCAAAGAAAAAAAATATTAGAATTTATATATGGTTTTTTCCCCCTAAGCATACTCTCTTCTGTAGCTTCAAATCCTAGACTTGTAGGTAACATTTGTAACAAGTTGTTCAGATAAGTCAGCAAAAAGTGTTTATAAACAGAAATTGTAGAAAAACAAAAGGTAAACTCCATAAAGGAATAACCAAATTTCATTTTAGGTGATTGAATACCACTGGGGTCAGAGGCTTGGGCATCAAACTATCTTGGTAGGTCTGGGTTACGGATGGATTTAGGCTAGCTGTGGTGTTAGACTTGACTGTCGCACAAAACTGTCTGCAAGCTCTAGTCACTAAATTTTAGGAGAAAATAACTGATGTCATGGCTTACACTGAAGTCTGTATTTATGACTAATTTAAATAAAGCTTTCCAGTGCCCTCTTTTTTTTTATTTTTTTTTTTTTTTCTAGGACATGAAGGGTTAATTCAGTGGCAGGCTTAGGGAACAGGGCACGGTAAGCCAAGAGATTTGTGACAACTGTGACAAATTAGTAAGACTGCTTGCCAGCCAGTTTGAAGATCTGGGTGAAACACGTTAAACAAAACGTTAAAGAACATTCTGGTTTTCAGCACAAGGAAATATCTACTTCAATTACTGCCTTCTCGTGTAACTCCTCTTGCAGAAAACTTGTAGGCAGTTGTATTGAGCTGTTTAAAGCCTTGGGGATATCTTAACTTCAGGTGACTCATGGCTTAGGAAAAATGTTGTGAAAAGAACGACTAGGCAAAACAAGGATGACAAAGGCATGCTTTAATGCTATGCCTCCATTATTCAGAGGCAAAGGTCTTTGATGTATCAAAGTGGACATACTACCAAGAACATAAAGTGAACTTATTTTACGGAAGACTGCAAGGTGCAGACTCTTCCCTATAATGCGTACAATGTAAAGTCTTAATCAAGCTTCCACACTTTTAGAAGTGGATTAGATTGAAACTTGAAACCCCCTAACACTGGCCTTTCCTATGACAAATCCTTTGACTTTTCCTCTGCCCACCCCACTCCCTCAACTTTCCAGCAAAATTTCAGCGCCCATGAGAAGTTGGTGACACCCTCCCTTTACCCAGGAAAACAGCTCAGTGCAGTAGTCTGAGTGAAATTAGTGTCTCTACCAATGGACTCTAATTCTGTCCTAAAGTAATCATAAAACACAGTAATGGCAATACTGGCTCAGTGATGAAATTCACAGTATCAGCACCTGTGAGAAATAGCTCAAGACCTCCAAATTTATTCGGCATTTATCAAGAAAAGCCACTCTTAATTACTATTCATTCACATTACATTCGAGACAGTGATCTAAAGATTTAAGGAACATAGAAATAATGCTCTGCTTTGCTAACACAATGTTTTGGCATATGAAATGCTGACTGTCTTGATTTAAATGTCATCTGCAATGCAGGTCAAGAGTGAATACAAGATGCATCTAGGAACTGCTTTATGACTTGCGTGCCTCTACTCCTGATATTGCCTGTTGGCAAAAGATGAAAAGCTGAGCTCCCAAAGGTATTAAGAGTAGCTGTTTGTTTGGGAAAGGAGATTAACATCCACTCTTATTCTTCTTCCTCTACATTCATTTAAAAATTGTAACAATTTGATCCAAGTTAATCAGTGAATCAGAGAACAAATGCCATCAATTTGAAATGAAGATAAATAGCAAAGATATACTTTGAGACTCTCTAGGGAAAAGAAACATTGCACTAGTCCTCCCTGGTGCATTGCCTAACAAAATTTTGTATGTGTTTCTTCTCAAAACAGACTTCTGGAGACCATAAGGCACTGACTAGGAAGGGTGGCCCAGTCTTCATACCAGCTGAGAAAAGGAAGTTGCTAGAGCTCTGAACACACTGGCTACACATCCAGAAGCTGAAATGCAGTAACTACCAAAACGTTTCTTGGAAATGAAATGTGCCATGGGCGGCTTGAATCCTCCTATCTTTCATAAAAGATATCATAAGTGCCATGCCTTCAACAGCACACTGTAATATCTGATGTTAGCTGGAAATCTGAAATAAAAACCCATTAACTACTTGTTACATCTGTGCACACCTACTGACTTAAATTACTTTCATTTTTCTGACTTCTCTGAGGCTGGCTGGATAGCACTACAACTAGAATCTGGTTTATTTTCTTTAAATACTTAAATTCATTTCCATTCTGGCCTTCAAAGCTCCCCAAGGTACAATTTGATATGTTAAAAAAAAAAAAAAAGAGCATCAGCTTTTTTTCTTTATTGCTTATTCATGTTTCCCACTTTGCAGTAATTCAGCATGGTAAACAAACAGCCTCTCTCTTATGTGCTGGTTAAGTTCCAATTTTGGCAGTTTTGTAAACTAAAGTTTTACACTCCCACTGTAGTTAGGATAACTTCATTCCCTAATGGATACTTAACACATCTAATTACTCTATTTTTGAGCTGAAAGCGCTGTTGAAAAATGTCTCCGCTCTTTCATTCCAGGAGCTTCCAGCTGCAACATTTTCTACTGAATAAAACATTTTCAGTGACTTTGCCCATAAATAATACAGCACAAAGACCAATGTAGTCCCAACTGTACATAATAACCTCAGAATTCCACTGAGGGTTTTCTAGTGACATCATAATAAACTGCAAGAAAATGCTGAAGATGTATTGAATTATAGTTTGGGTATATTTTATTCTTTTTTACACATTATAAGAAAACCCAGACATTTGTCACAGTAATTTGAACATTTTTCTGGGCTACTTCAAAACTAGAAAGGACATAATTTCAAAGCAGGATGCAGAGTCACATTTCATATTTGTCGGGACAAATTGAATGATTGAATATGTCATTACTATTTACTTTGCATGTACAAATTCCCATGTTGTTTCTCCACAATCCTAAGTCAAATGTAAGGCATTTTTTAAAAAAAAATAATAAACTAACCTCCCTTAAAAACTCAAGATCAATGTTGACAAACATTGATGCTAAATATAATTTTAGTCCCCTATCAATTGTGAAGGGATTATAATTGGGACTACTGAGTCAAACAGTGGGGTTGTGTCAAAATACCCCTCCAGCACTCCTGCAGTCATCTCAAAGTCTGTTATTTAGATCTCAAAAAGAAAAAAACCAAAAAACCTCAATTTAACTGGTAATAGGGCTGTGACAGAGGAATTATTTACTCAGGTGATTTTAGTCTGTTTTACATGTCTTTGTCTTAGAGTGCTTAGCCCTCTAATAGATGAAAGTGTTAGCCCAGAAAGGAAGGATAACAACACTTCATTTCAAATTGGGAACAAATAAGGACTGTTAATGCCTGGGCATTTCAGGCCACAAGATATCGAGTCCTCATCCCCTCACCCAAAGAGCAGGGAGAAAAAAGAAGGGTTTCTAAAGTGCAAGAGGATGGTCCTAAGGGAAACAACCATGAGATAATCATGCACTCAAAGTGAGGGGCTGCTTCTACTCTTGGGTCTGGGCTTTGGCATCCAATGGCAAATAAAACTTGGCTGCTATTGCACTTACTTGTCCATGTGGTGTTAAAACCTGCATTGATTTAGTATGTAGAAAATCCTCACCCAGAGGATAAGTGCCTTAGTGAGACCACGGCGACTGCCTGGCATGCAGTGATGTTTGAACCTAAGCTGTGGATTCACAGGAGGGCAAGGCTCCCCCTGCCTAGTCTACACTAGTGGCTTACTGTCTTAGGGACCTTCTCCGAGACTTGGAAAGCAGCTGAACCAGGGGCAGCAAGATCTTAGGTGATGATATGCAGAAGACAGGGACCTGAATCAACAACTTGAGTGAGAAAACGGAATTTTCCCTAAGGTCAGCATTGAGTCTGACTTGCAGGTTGGGTTCTTGCCTTTCTGGAGGAAGAAACACAGCAGAACATGCCTCTTTTCTTTAAAGCCACTCTATCATTCTTGCAAACAAGGATTTATGGGAATGGCTAACTTTGTCACTCTCACATACTTTCACGGACTTGTTAGCCTCAAGATTAAAAACCTGTTATGGAAAAATAGCTAGCTGTCTCTTGGAGTGCTTGGCTAGCTAATGCCTCACTGTATTTTCTAGTCTCTGCTTTGATCCAAGAGGGAGGACTTGGGAGGTGGGGAGGTCACTGGATCAGTGGGAGCGAGGGTAACTCAGCATGCAACTTCCTAAAGTAGAGGAGACTGGAGAACAAAAGGGCACAGTGAAAGAACAGGAGACCTAGAAATGTTCCTGTGGTAGGGAGAGGTGAGATGATCTGGAAAAAAGGACTGGAAGGTGTGACACAAAAACAGTTCACCAAAAAAGGAACAGGAGGAGACAAGGACATTCACATTAGGGAGGCATGAAGCAAAAGAACCGATGGACATCAAAATGAGAACAACGTGATCTGTTAAAGCATTAAGAAAACACCTGGGAGCAAAAGGAGCAAAGATGACCACTAAATGAATTTTTATTGTTTGTTGCTATTAACATATCTTTGACTTGGAAAGAAAAGATGAATTCAGGTTTGAGCTCCCCATATGCTTGAAGAAGCATTGGGCTCCTCTTGATCCAAGTGTTGGAGCATAAGTACTATGGGATGCATTTGCATGTAAAGCATAGCCTGAAAACGCACAGCAACAATTTACACTCCCATTTCAAACACTGATACACTGGTTATCTTAAACTCAATGGCTTCTTTCAAAATATGTATGTGTGTATACATATGTATGCATATGTGTCACAGAAGAGTATGTGCCAGAGGCCAACAATTCTGATCCTGAAGACAAAGTATCTCCAGAGAGACTGGAAGTCTATGGTATACTGTTATTTTTTTTAGCTTCCAAACTACTTCTCAGGATGATAATTTACCCTTTTTCTCACATGTAAGTAGAACATTCATACATGTATATATGTTGACCCTCCTTTCCCTGAATTAATTCTTTATCCACTTACTGGATGGAGTTCTCAATGCGCGTGATGGTGAGGAAAGCTGCTAGGTTTGCCGTGTAGGAGGAGATGACAATCAAAGCAAAAAGCCACCAAGCCCCCATCATCAGTCGGGTTGCCAAGGTTGTGTATGGCACCTCTCCTCCTGTGGGGAAGAAGGAAAAGCAAGAATTTTCATTTGGCAGGCAGAAATACAGATCCTCTTTGTTCATGCATTACTCAGGAGAATTAGCCCCCAAGGTCAGCAGGGTTCTACCAAAGCAGGTTGCTTTAGCAAACTGAGCAGGACCTGGAGCCACATTTTCTATGCAATGAAAAATACTGAAGGAAGCCCACACTGCCAACCATCATGACTGTATTTAATCTCTTTTTCTATTGTGCCTTTAATTGTAATTCATCTGCCAGTCAGGCACAGTAATGGAAATAGACTTCAAGATCTCAGAATGAAAGGAGTAAAAGTAAGTTCTTACAATGTTCTTTCCTTAGAGATCTTATCTGCAAACCTTAATTAAGTTTTTCTTACATTCTTGAGAACATAAAGTTAAAAAAACCTCATCAAAACGTAATTATTTTTCACAGTTCTGTAGGCAGGCATGTGCTCATGAGAGCCATATGTATGTGTACAACTTGCTGCAAGTGAACTTGGCTATGCAAAAATAATAATAAAATCAATTGAAGAGGACTGCAAAATTGTTTTGTATTCCCACAGTTACTCTCCTTTAAAATTCAACTGCCATGTAAACAAAACATTAGCAGCAACTAAACCTACCAGGATCTGAGCTGCACGCCAGCACTTGTGTGAACAGAGCCCAGTTTAGTAAGTCATGTAAAGCATTATTTTTTATTCAAATAGCTGCCCCCAAAACATACTAGTCCAGATTCTGATTCTTCCAGTTAAAAACATATGAACTTCAGATTTTTAGATGAAGGAAAATTCATAGTTTTAAAAACTAATTTTCCTGCAGTAAAAGTTTTCTCACATCTACAAATAGCTAGGGGGGACAGGTGAATGCAGCAACCACCCGCAGTCAACAGCTCAGGATGTTCACCTGCTTCCTCTCCCTCTATACTCAGCAATTTGAAAAGTTGTCATTATTTTTGAGGTAGCTTTCTCAGATGCAAAATCTTATGATGGTACAATAGCTGGAATTTTCAAAGGCAAAAGCAGTTTGTTACAGATTCAATCATCTGTAAGTATTTTGTGCTGGATCTTCACTGCCATAAAAAAAACACATCATGTTCCCCAGCAAGTAGGTTTAATAGGAACACAAATTACAATTATTCCTATTTCAAATACAGATAATATTCAATTATGTACACAAACTAGATATTTAATCCATATTTGACTATGAAGGATCACCTTACTGTGTTGTTCAAAGTTTGTCCTACCTATACAATACATGGGGAACTCTGCATCACCATACAATAAACAAATTGGAAGCTTTTCTCCTACTTCATTAGTGTGGGGTTGTACCGTATGTGAAATAATAACTGACTCCATTCATTTATATTTTTGGTATATAAGTACTGAAGTACGCCTTTTAAGAATTGCAGTATTGAAAGACAAAATCTATATTAGACCTATGTAGTTGGAAATAAATTTCCTTTTATTTCCAAGATGCCACGTAATTATCTGAAATAAGCATCTACTGATCAGATTGGGAGATATTATTTCAATATAAAGACTTTAAAAGATTAACATTAACTTCAACATTTGAAGATTTGGTTTTCTCTCCCACATAAATTTTAAATGAATTTAAATAGAATATTTCTACTTTACAGGTTTTTGCAATGTCTTTGGAATATTTCATTTTAAAATGATTTTTAATAAAATGAAAAGAGCAGACAGCTATATCAATTTATCAGAAAAGGCTGTTTGTCCTTTTAACTTTCAGGTGTCAATCTCTGCAGACAATCTTTGTATTGAATTAAAATGGGTAGAGTGAGAGAGAAAAAGCCAATGGTCTCATCGACATCCTTGCATTTTCAATTTTCAGCTTAATGAGTAAAACTTTTTTATTGAAATGAAATGTCAGAAAAGAGAGGAGCACTGAAAGTCACACACCTGCCTTCTAGTTTTCAAGAGAGGATGCTGTGCGACAAGTGACCATGAAAGCCATCATAAACCCCTTAGCCACAGCATTCTCCTCCTGTCCAGACAGCGCAGTTTTCCCACATGCTGGTAAGGTTGTTCCCACTGTTCACTGCTCCTTTTCTTTTTTAACACCCATGTTAACAACAGACTTTGAAAACACTGTGAGTGTTGGTCATCCCAAGCGCTTTTAGTTCACCCAGGTGTTTTCCTAATTCACACTTACGCCTCGTATCTCAACAGTCAATAAATGAAGCTTAAGGACAAAACTTGCATCCACGTACACGGAACACATATCAAAATAATTCATCACTCCTGCCCCTGCTCTAAAATCTTTGCAATGATGCTTCTTAGACCATCATTTCTAAAGCAGGACTGACACTGCAACTGCATAGGTACATGATTTTTAAGCAGTACAGGCAGGGGTACTCCACTTCTCTCAGTGAAAGAAAAGAAGAAACAAAAATCAGAGGAGATCTTTTAGTGCCATAGTATCATTTCTTTGGCATCTATTAGGAGACTTAATGTGACACAGTCTTGTTCTATTGTACTGTTGGCTGAAACACTTCCTGCACCCTGACAGCTCACCTTAAGAAACTTCTTCCCTCCTTTCCCGCAATTTTGTTTCTAGGGATAAAACTTCCCAGAGTTTTCTTTCAGTCCAAACTTGCATGTTTTCTCAGAGCAGAAGAGTACCAAATAATTCAGGAGAGCAGCAATCATCATTTTCTATTAACATTACCATGAAAAAGAGCTACAGATCTAACAGCCGCTGTTGTTGACTGTAGTTTAGTATGCAGCAGGGACAGCATGGAAACCTCCCAGGGCTCTTCTCCCTGATATCTAGTATAAGTTTCAGGTGTATGGACGTCTTTATGGATGACAGCAAATTCTAGTTACGAGGGGCTATGCACAGGACACACAGTACAAGGGAGGAGGGAGCCAAGAAGATAAAACAAGTCTTACCCTGCTGTTGTCTTTCGTATCATGCCAGCAAAGCTTAATAACCCCTAATGGCAAAGGGGACCACCTGGTGCCATGTAAACAAATGTTGGTGACCAGAGTAAAAATTATCACACCTCGTTCCTGTAGCAAAATTCATCAATGGGACTTAACATTCTGGTTATAGAATCATAGAATCATAGAATGGTTTGGGTTGGAAGGGACCTCAAAGATCATCTAGTTCCAACCCCCCTGCCATGGGCAGGGACACCTCCCACTAGAGCAGGTTGCTCAAAGCCCCATCCAGCCTGGTCTTGAACACTTCCAGGGATGGGGCATCCACAACTTCCCTGGGCAACCTGTTCCAGTGTCTCACCACCCTCATAGTAAAAAATTTCTTCCTGATATCGTATGGTTACAATAAAAATACTGCTGATGAAGCATGCTAAGCAACACTTAAAAATACTGAGATCCACTCATGAAACAAATGGAAATCAAAGAAGACACACAGCAGTCCTGGACCTGCTTTGTCATCTTAAGAGACAGACATCATATAAATACAGAGGGTGCGTTATTCTTTAGGCTTGGCCCTTCCAATACACTGGCAGAAGGGTATAATGCAGCACAAAATGCTCCTACCTCTAGATCGCCTATGTTGTGGCTACAGCTCCTAGTATAATTCAGCTAACACTTTTGATATATACTAAATATCATTAAAACATTCTAATCTGCCTTTAAAATTTTCAGATTGCATGTGCAGGAAGGAAAAGATATTTTCCAGGGCAAAAAGCAATCTTATTGGGAGTTTTCCGAAAGAGTTGAATTACCGTAGAAGTGACAGTGAAAGAAATTACTTTTAGTCCTCCCACTCTCATCTAATGCAACTCTACTTCATCAATCCTAGACCAGTTTAATGTTGGCATACTTCAGATGACAGGCTTAGACTGCAACTCATCTTATGAATTTTTGTTTATTCTCATTTCTTTCCAAGTGCTTCAAGCTAAATATCAGAGGGTAAGAAAAATAACGCATTGTCTTGACAGTGCAAACAATATAATGTGTAATTATGACAGAACTAAATATGAGGAAAAGCCAACCTTAGAAGATAAAATGTGAACCTATATAATTCCCGTACAGATTTCTAATGCCCTTTAAGTTATTCTCCCTTGTTAGCAGCAAGTTTAAAAGTTTCTTCAAGTCAAAAATTGCAAGAGAGGTTTACAGGCAAGAAGGAGGAATGAAATAATGAGAAAAATGGGCAAAACAGGGAAATTAAAGATGATAGCCTGCTGAGATCTTGGTATTTTGTAATTCTAGACCACATTTGAATAATTCAAAATGCATAGGTTGCTTTTCCAAACATCATCTCAGAGATTTGTCAATGGCTTGCCTAAAGAAAAACTGTTCATCTGCATAGTCCAGAACTATGAAAGTGTTTCAGATAGAAATGGAAAAAACCATTTTTTGTGGACAAAAAGAAAGCTGAAATGTTTCTTGGAGAAGTCTTAACCACAGCTGGCATTTCTGAGATCAAGCCTGTGGCAGCCATCTTGCTGAAAAGTGATGCAATTTTTGTTACTAGTCATTCAGGCATTAAATGTGCAACGTAAGTTCTCTCTCTGATTTAATATCAATTTAACAACTTCACTGGGAATGGACAACATTTATAAATAAAATTAATTTGCTTAACATCTCAAAAATAATTTTTTTCCAACTACTAAACTAAATAGCTTGGCAGCATAGAGCCCGCGATGCTGAGAAAACTCGAACTTGCTTATTGAGAACAATAACGACTTTTGAAGATTAATCATTGAAATGTACTTTATGAACAACTACACACAGAGAAAAAAGCCAGAAAACACCATTATTCTATGTCCTGAATTTGGTAACTCTACTAAATGATATTTCTGAGGGTAGTTGAGAGCTGGACTGGGAGTCTGTTGCAGTTATTCCATATGTGAAGAGAGAGGCTTAGATGAGAAGACCCCTAGAACGGAAACTATAAGAATCATGGCTTGCAATTTCTATTTGTGATAACTACAGCTGCCAGGGAAATCCCAAAGACTAGGTTCTTCTTACAGACAAAATTAAATTTGTCACCAATGCTTACC